TCTCAAACAACATTGCCGAATCAAGTTAACCCAAATGAAATAATTTCTGAGGTGACCACCATGTTGTATACATTCGAGTGTGGTGGCGGGCTTTTCTTTTCCAATTTTATTGTACTGTGATTTTTTTCCTTTCTCTACGTTGATTCCTATTTGTAAAATAGTTTCGGTTTACGAACATTTTGGGTTACGAATGGCCTTCAGGAACGAATTAAATTCTTGAACCGAGGTTCCATTGTAATTTGTTTTCAAACAAATGCGTTTCATGTGAAGTTTCTACTTTAAAATCTAAATTTATTTTTCTCTTTAAATTTAGTTACTTTATGTGTTTTATTTGAAATTTCTAATTTAAAATATTAGTAAGTATTGTTTATTTTTATTTTTTTTACAGAGGGTTCATTTGCTTTTCAAATAAATGTTTTCTACTTTACAATATTAATTGATAAAAATATTTTTTTTTCTTAAAACAAGGTTATTTTCCCTTTCAAATGTCTTTCATGTAAATCTTCAACTTAAAAAGAATTATTAATATTTTTTTTCTTTAAAGTACTTTAAACTGGGTTACTTTGTCTTTCAAGTAAATGCGTTTCATGTGAATATTCTGCAGTACTTTAAAATATTAATTAATAAAAATTAATTCCATTTTTTTCTTTAAAAGCCTTTATTTTGTCTATTTTAAATATTAATTATTTTGGGTTAATATACTATGTGTCCGAATAAAATTGCAAATTTATGAATGTGACCCTTGCACTGAAAAGATTGCCCACCCCTGGATTAGACGTTATCAAGTGCAATGAAAAGTGAAATTAAAGTTAAATCTTTAATAAAGTATTGTTTTTTTTTAAACTTTCACCCTGTTCAATATTTAACTTTAAGCGTTGGTAAGATCCAGTGACAGGACCCAAAGAGTGTGAGTTCAATACCTGGTTAAGGCAGTGGAGAACTTTCAGAGGGAAAATTAACAGGAGATAACTGATAACTGACATCCATTAGACATGGCATGTGGAACTAGAACAGTCTACACCAGTGAGCGAAATAAAGGGTTTAGTTCGACACTCCAACCGCCTGAAGAAGGCCGGAGCGTACAACGGCCGAAACGTTGTAATAAATATGACGACAAAGATGAGGATAATAGTCCAAATAATGTAAATAGTGTACATAATACCTCATCTCAGAAATATAGGCAGATACTGAAGGGCCAAAATGTTGTAATAAATATGGCGACAAAGATGAGGACAATAGTCCGAATAATGTAAATAATGTACATAGTACCTCATTTCAGAAATATAGACAGGTAATGAGGACAGTAGGCCAAATATGAATAGTGTAAAGATTGCAATGTCTTTATTTCAGTCATTAACTTAACAATTACGTTTTATCAGAAAGTTAAAATAAAAAAACAGGGAATTTTTTACATTTCTAGTATTAAATTATTATTGTAAAAAAAAGAGAAGTCTAATAAATAATTTAAAGCCAGTAAATACGTTTAAATTGTAGGAATTTCTCTTTTTTTTAGGTAATAATGGTTTAGTGATACAAACCTTAATAATTAACCCATAGCTGGGGGAGAAGAATGGGTTTGGTTTGGTTTGTTTTGTTTTACGGCATATCAACCTCAATGGGTTATTTAATGCCGACAAAATTTTTATTGCTGGCAATGTTTTTCTTCAAAAATCTATTTCTGAGAATATTTTTCCTTCAAGAAATCTATAGCTGGTCATATTTTTCTTTCAAAAAATGTATAGCTGTTTGTATTGCTGATAATAATATTACCTTCAAAAATTATTGCTGGTAATAATTTTTTTTTTCAAAGTATTACAAAGCATTTCTGGTATTAAAACCTATTTTTACACATTTGGGTATTAACTATTTGCCCATAGCTGGGACCCTAACAGGTGCTACCACCCCAGGTCAGGGTGGACCCGGGAACACCAGCAATTAAGAGGTGGTTCCACGCTCCTCAAAACCTCCTGATTAGAGGCCTTGATGTTGGACGTAGTTTATTGTCTTACCCTGGGCGCGGATGTAGTTTATCGTCATACCCTGGCTGCGGATGTAGTTTATCATCATACCCAGGACGAAGGGAGAAGAATGGGGTGCATACATTCCCTGAGAGTATTTTTGCATAAACGAATATAATTAACCCAACAGGAACTCTTCTCTCTGATTAACAATTCCGAGCCATTATCCATTACACCACCTGCACATCCAACCTTACAGCACCTGGTATTTGCCAGCGGTCACCCATCTAAGTACTGACCAGGCTCAACATTGCTTCAATGTGATACGGCCATAAATGAAATAAAATAAATCATATTTTATTTCATGTTTATCGATTCTTAAGAACACATGTATAAACGCAGCTTCATATGTTTGCACGTTATTAAAATTCTTAAACTGGCTTTATATAAACAATAAAAGGCAAACTTCGCACCTTGGGCCTGCTAAAAAACGGGGGTGTCAAAAAGGATGGGCTTTGCCTTGACACCATTATTATTTTAACTACCTTCACTCCTCGGCCATGTTTATTGTTTTAAACAGCAATGGTTCGGATCAGAAGAAAACCTAAACACATGATGAAAGTGAATTTATAGATTTTTCTTTTTTGTTCTTGAAAATCTACAACAAAAATATTTATTTGCGCTATTTATTTAGATTGTCTATTTATAAGAATAATTATATATTTACAACATTCTTAAAACTAAAAAGAAATTGCAACCTACTGCAGGGAAAAAAAAATCTGCCTCGTCAGTCATGTATCGAAAGATAAATGATCGCCTAAGCGTGTATCACGCATGGCACATAACTGACTGACTATTCCTCTTCTTCTGCTCTCTACCGTGTCCCTTCAGACGTTGAGAATCATGACTCTCCACAACATCTCTTATCCCAGCCAAACAGAAGACATTAAGAATACTAGAAAAATGCGATAAAAAAAATGTATGAATCCTCTTCTTCCCACAGCTATGTGTAAATCACAGGAAAGACTGGCTTCTATAGCCTTGGATGGCAACTGGTCTACCACAGAAAGAAATGGCAACCTACTGCGGGAAAAAAATCTACCTTGTCAGTCATGTATCGAAAGATACATGATCGCCTAAGCGTTTATCACGCATGGCACATAACTGATGACTTTCCAATCTAATCCATTACATTCACTTACGTGCTAATACCCTTGGGAAAGATATGAATCCTCTTCTTCTCCCACCCAGCTATGGGTAAATAGTAGAACAGACCAGGTTCTATAGCTTTGGATGGAAACTGGTCTACCACAGAAAGAAATGGCAACCTACTGCGGGAAAAAATCTGCCTCGTCAGTCATGTATCGAAAGATACATGATCGCCTAAGCACGTATCACGCATGGCACATAACTGACTATTCCTCTTCTTCTGCTCTCTACCGTGTCCCTTCAGACGTTTAGGATCATGACTCTCCACCCAACGCAAAACATTAAGAATACTAGAAAGAATTGATAAAAGAAGCTATGAATCCTCTTCTTCTCCCACCCAGCTATGAATAAATAGCAGGACAGAACGGGTTCTATAGCCTTGGATGGCAACTGGTCTACTGCAGAAAGAAACGGCAGCCTATACTACGGTGGAAAAAATCTACCTCGTCAGTTATGTATCGAAAGATACATGATCGCCTAAGCACGTATCACCCATGGCACATAACTGACTGATATGATAAAAAAAATTAATATATAAAAAAAATTAACTAGCATATAAAAAAATAATTAACATAAAAAAATAAACTAACATATAAAAAAATTAACTAATGTAAAAAAAAAAAATTAACCAACATAAAAAAAAAATTAACTAGCATATAAAAAATTAACATAAAAAACTAGCATATAAAAAATTAACTAGCATATAAAAAATTAACATAAAAAACTAGCATATAAAAAACTAACATATAAAAAAATAACTAGCATAAAAAAATTAACTAACATATAAAAAATTAACATAAAAAATTAACATATAAAAAAAAAATTAACTAGCATATAAAAAAATTAACATATAAAAAATTAACTAACATATAAAAAATTAACTAACATAAAAAAATAAACTAACATATAAAAAAAAATTAACCAACATAAAAAAAAATTAATATATAAAAATAAACTAACATATAAAAAAAATTAACCAACATAAAAAAAATTAACTAACATATAAAAAATAAACTAACATATAAAAAAATTAACCAACATAAAAAAATTAACTAACATATAAAAAATAAACTAACATATAAAAAAATTAACCAACATAAAAAAATTAACTAACATATAAAAAAAATTAACTAGCATATAAAAAATTAACATAAAAAATTAACTAACATATAAAAAATTAAGTAACATTTAAAAAAAGAAATCAAAATTTGTGTTTGTGTTCTGTTTTAAGTTACTAAATTTCTATCCTTTGCTTTTGTTTCAAAGACTGTAGCAAATTTCCTGTTTTTAGTGTCAGTATCCTGTAGTTAAAATGATATTAGTGTCTTGGGAAAATCCATCCTTTTGGTTTTTTTGGTAGGCACAAAGTTCTAAGTTGCCAAATAAAAAAAAAATGCTGTGGAAGTATATCGTGTAATAATGGTATCAACTGAAAGAGCTACCCTTTTTAAACCTTGGTATCTTTTCTTTTTCTTTTTTTTTTTTTTTTTATAGATTAGGTAGTGCAAAAATAATGACGTAATAATGTCGTTTTTTGACGTTAAAAAAAGTCCAAAAACGACATTATTACGTCATTATTTTTGCACCAACCTAATATGTTAAACATTATCAATAATTTTTATTATTTCATTTAGCCAAGACATTGCCACAAACTTTCGAAAATATAAAAAAATGTTTGAAAACAAATGATTTGCATCAAAATTCAGGATTTAAATTTGCATTTACAAAAAAAAAAAAAAAAATGCAACCTTCCCACCCCACATGCCAAACACAAACTATTTAGTTTCTGGATTAAATGACAAAATTACTTGCGATGAGTTTTCAAATGTTTACGAAGGTTATTTGATTGGCTGAAGGCGGACCCGCACTGCTGACACTTGTAGGGCCTCTCCCCCGTGTGTATTCGACGATGTTTCGTTACGTGACTCAGCTGAGTAAAACTCCGTCCACAAATGTCACAAGAAAATGGTCGTTCGCCAGTGTGAATGCGTGTATGTGCGGCCAGGTCGGAAGTGCGGCCAAACGTCTTACTGCAGTAAGTGCAAGGAAATTTCTTTGAAGCTGTTTGCGTTCCCAAGTCCGACGCTGGAGAGATTTGTTTCGAGTCATCATTGGATTCCTTGGAAAGGTCGGCAGCATTGTCCTGTGTGTCGTTATCATCATCATCATCGTCGTCGTCATCAATATCAATCACATCAGTTTCAAAGAGTTTGGGCGTGGTTATGGATTGGACAACGGTCGTTAGAACCTGGCCATCAGTGGAGGTAGTTGACAGGAACTCTACTTGGCCCTCAGGGGCTGCTGAATATGATGCGGAGCTGTCAAACGTTGGAATATCAGCCTCGGTTGTCTTCTGAAACAATGGCAGTTCAACCGGAAAAAGCTGAGTCTCGCTTGCCAAGGGAAGCTCCTGCTTTACTAGGGATTCACTTAAGTTCGTATAGCTGATCTGATTTTCAAAACTTGTGGGAAAGAACGAGTCGGGGTTATTTTTGGGGTAAGCATTCTGATTTCCTAACTGTTCGCTCAAAGACAAAGAAACGCCCAGATCTGAACTTTCCGTCTTTACTTGGAACTGTCTCGGATTTGAGTTGGTTCCAGGGTCAGCTGAAGCCGACTCAATCTGTGGGAGGTTCTCACCTGCCGGGAATTCAATTTCAGTTTTAACACAACCACCTGGTTCTAAGGCAGAATTAACGAGATTGCCAACAAAGGCCGGCTCGACATCTTCGAGGTTTTCAATCAGAAGAGACGGCATTTCTGGATTTGGAGGGGCATCTTCTGTCTGAGACGTTTCCGGTGCCGGCAAGCTAGATGTGGGGTTTTCAGACAAATCAGCGGGTTGTCCAGAACCAAACCTCGGTGTTGTTGAGCCCAGACGCTTTCGGGCATGTGTCCGAACGTGTTTTTTTAAATTACTGGACTGGGTAAAGGCTAGGCTACAGATCGCACACTTATAAGGTCTCTCACCTGTGTGCACCCGTCGGTGTTTTGTAAGATGACTAGTTTGTGAAAACGCTTTGGGACAAAGATCGCAGCGAAATGGCCGCTCTCCAGTGTGGGTCCTCATATGGAGACGAATGTCGGCAGTACGAATAAATGTCTTGCCACAAACAGTACACATATGGGGGCGAGGATTTGCCGGATCAAATACTGAAGAGGCTGTTATGGGGACATCGATGGCTGGAGTAAAAGTCGGTACAGAAGTCGAGGTTGATTCCCGAGTGGAAGTTGGTGCCGAGGTGACCAAAGTAGGGGCAGCAGAAGAAGCAAACGAGGGTCCCTGTTGGGGGAACTGCGGCAGAAGTCTACCAAGAAATGAGGATGAGGGCGGAGAGGTAGTTGGCGATGGAGAGTCTTCGAGGTCAATGACTTCAAATTTTGGTTCTACCGGCTCTGGGAAATCGTCGAGGTTGATTGGCGGCGGTGGCGACGCCGACGGTTTGACGTCTTGCTCTTCCGCGACATTTGCTTCCTGTTTTATGCACACCTCGTTGCTGTTAGAAGCCTCGTTCTGAGATTCTAGCTTTTGCTCTTCCATTTCTCCAGGGTTGCTCGCTGCTGGCTGGGCCGGCAACATTTCTGGCTGGCTCATATCCGAAGCGAACTGCGGCTCGAAAATTGGGTTCTGCTCAAAATTAGCGGCCTCGACAGCTGAACTTTGCTGAAGTGTTGTTTCTCCACCACAGATATTTTCCCGGTTTCCTGTACACTCCGACATATGTGAAGTCAGTGCGCTTTGGGTGAAAAACGTCAGCTGACAATAGACACATGGGTAAAATTCTTCTTTTGTATGTATTCGGTCTCCTTGATCTTCATCAATCTGCGTGCGGTCATTCCATATTGACGGGGTAGGATCTTGTGGCGTCTTTTCGCGATTAGTCTTATTTGATACGGGTTTAAAATGTACACGGACGTGCTTTTTTAAATTGCTGGACTGCGTAAATCCCAAATTGCATAAGGCACACTTGTAAGGACGCTCGCCCGTGTGTACTCGTCTATGTTTGGTCAAATGGCTGGTTTGAGCAAAAGCTTTCGGACATAGATCACATCTAAAGGGCTTTTCTCCTGTGTGAGTACGCATATGCAGCCGAAGATCTCCAGGTCGCAAAAAGGATTTACCACAACGCACACAGCCGTGCGGACGCCGCAAGCTCCCTAGCCTACGGACAGTGCTACCTCTAAAATTTGCTAATGATGGATTTCCATATGGTGTTGATTCGCGAGTGCCTCCCAGTGCTCCCTTAAAGAAAGGAGTACCACCACCCCAGAGCGGGCGGGACCATCTGGATTCTGGTCTTCGTAGAGGTCTTAAGGGAAGGTGTTGTTGTACTGGTGGCGTTGATGCCGCAGGGTGGGTCGTCAAGGCTCGCCGTAGAGATCTTCTAGCTAAAGTCACGGCCCGCACTGGAGTTGCCGGGGTTTTCTCTTGGCTGTGTTTCGCCTCTAGATGGCGTGTGAAGTCCTCGGAGCGGGAAAATCTCAGCTCGCACTGGTTGCACTGAAAGCTTTGAATGACAACGTTCGATGGGGCCGGATCGACCGTGCTGATTGTTTTCTCGACTGTTAAATCGCGTTCAAGTTCTCGACGCGCTTGCAAAGTATGGAGGTTCCTGTGCGCTTCGAGATCGGGGCGACGGATGAAAATGGCGGGGCACAGGCGACATTGGAAAGCATTGCCGTGCTCGTAGCAGGCATGACTCAACAAATCGCCGAGATCCGAATAACGAGCGGCACATTTAGCGCAGTTATAGAACTCGCTCTGGTTGTTTGGAAGCTCGCTAGCATTTCGATTAGCTTGCCTCTCATCGCAGACATCGATTACATCAGTAACCGTCGGCTTGGAACTAGACAGCGAATAGGAGACGTTCGTGGGAGCCGTTGACGAAGCAGACAATGACGGAAGACTGTTAGATGAATGTCTTTGGCTATGAGTTTGGTTAAAAGTAGGTCTAGGGTTCCTCTGAACAGGGGATGCTGATAACTGAGGCTGGGGTAAAGCAGAGGAAGTAACTGCAGGAGTGGGTGTAGAGCGTGGCCAGCGAATGTGTTTTTTGATATGAACCTGAAGGGCGGTGTAAGACAAAAACTGACGCCAGCAAAATTTGCACTTGTGAAATAGCCGGCTATTGCTGGGGTTGCTGCTAATGTTGTTGTTATTGGCGCCAGTTGATTTCAAGTTTGCGCCATTGCCCGGGGCAGTTAAAACAACGTTGACGTTCGTTGCTGCGGCTAAAGCTTTCTTTTTTTTCCCGACTTTGAAGTGCGTGCGCACGTGTTTTTTAAGGTTGCTCGACTGCGTGAACGACAGGTCGCACAAAGCGCACTTGTAAGGACGCTCCCCCGTGTGAACACGGCGATGTTTAGTTAGATGGCTCGACTGGGCGAAAGCTTTCGGGCAAATATCACATTTGTAAGGTCTCTCCCCGGTGTGTGTCCGCATGTGAAGTCGAAGGTCCGCGGCCCGACAAAACATCTTTCCACAATGTAAGCACTCTTCAGTCAGCGGTCGTTTCCAGCGCGGCGGTTCCTGCTTGTCGCTTTCGGAATTCGGGGCATTTTCAAGCAGCAAGGACACCCGTTCGGTAAGCGCTTTCTGCTGTGTACTGTCGTCTGTGTTTCCCATGGTGACTGGGTGGGCACTGCCAAGACTGAACATAGAATTTGCGACCGTTGGGGCTTCCGTGGAAAACCTTGTGCACTTCGCAGGCTCTTTGATGACGGATATGTTAACGGCCCTTCTCGAGTCTCTCCTTGTCTGCTCCTGTCAACAGGATCGGAATTTTTGTCGTCGTCGTGGTGCTTTTTTTGCAGGGTCAGGAAATATTTTTTTCGGACGTCAGAGATGGGATCTTTGACTTGTTGTCGCAAATTGAAGTTGATGGAGGGGTGTTTTTTCGTTTTTTTTCATTTCTAGTGGGATCAGGCCAAGACATTGTCGAAGGCCTAACAAGAGTCTTCATCTGTCTTAAATAGTTATCTGTTCGCATATCTATGTACAACAGGGTTAAAACTATAGTTTATAGATTCTTAGCAATGGCTATTAAAAATTTTCAGTTTCTTTTTCTTTTATAAAAAAAAAAAACAAACAAGGTGATGTCTTAACCCACTTGTATTGGCTTCCCAATACAAAGCTCCAGCGTTTGACCACTAAAAATAATTTCAAAGTCTCTAAGCAGAATAAGGTTGTTCAGATGAGCAATTTCGTACCAGCCATTTTCTGCTCCTTAATGCTGAGTCAAATTGTTAAGCAAACTGTTCTGAAATAGTGAAATTTATCCAAATATCCAGGAATTTTTTTTTTTTTTGATTTAAGATATACATGTAAGATGTAAATACCTTCAGGATGTTTTTTTTTTTTCCTTTTTTAATTTTTCTTTTCTTTTAAATCAAAGTTTAATTTTTTTTAAATTAATTTTTTTTTTTAAATGATATACATATAAAATGCAAATATCTTCAGTTTGTTTGTTTTCTTTTTTTTTTAAATTTTTTTTCTTTTAAATCAAAGTTTAATTTTTTTTAAATTAAATTTTTTTTTCTAAATGATATACATGTAAAATGCAAATATTTTCAGTTTGTTTTTTTTCTTTTTTTTTTTTTTAAATTTTTTTTCTTTTAAATCAAAGTTTAATTTTTTTTAAATTAAATTTTTTTTTTAAATGATATACATGTAAAATGCAAATATTTTCAGTTTGTTTTTTTTCTTTTTTTTTTTTTTTAAATTTTTTTTCTTTTAAATCAAAGGTGTTTATTCTTCTTTAACATTTAAAAAAAATTTCTCCCAATTTCATTTTCTTTGGAAAAAGATGAAGAATTTTTTCATTTGTAGACATTATAAACTTTTTTTGTTGTTGAAAGAATCATTATTTTGGTAACCAAAGTCATGTTTCCAAATTCTATATACCTGGCTTGGCTTTGTGTCAAAGATGCCGATCTCAAAAAGACGTTCCTGGTAAGTAGTCCCTAAAGCACGTGTTTGATTTGAGATAAAAATGCAATTGTTTTGCAAACAAAGAATACATTAGTATGATAAGAGTTTAAGAAAAAATGGTCCAAATTTTACATCGGAAAAATGATAGCCAATCTGGGAATAAGTCATTTTTAGCAGTTTACTTTGTTTCTTTTTTAAAGAAAGAATTTTTTTAAAAATGTTTCGAATTATGAAAATGTACATGTACACATTTTGAGAAAAAAAAAAAAATTCTTTAAAAAAAAAAAAACAAAAAAAAAAAGATTTTAAAAGAGACGACTGTCACTTCCAAAATGGTTCTTGCCATCAGTTACAAAATGGCAAATCATTTTTTAACAGTTTATTAAACACAGACGTTTGATCCAACAGAAATGATTAATTATACACGACCTGAGATTATGCATTTTTGTAACTTGCTTTTCGTTGGAAGCATTCTTTCAACCTAGAATAGAGAAAAAAAAAAAAAAATTTAATGCAAGTTATTTTGAAAAAACAATTATAAAAAAACAAAATACTATAAAGTTCGTGTGCTAAAAAATTTAAAACTTTATTTGTATTTACGATAGAAATAATTTGTAAAAAGGATTAGAAAGAAGTAAATCTATATTATTTAAGGTTTTATTGAAATTTTATTTAAGTTTTCACATGTCCTCCATCATTAGCAATACAAAGGGTAATATGATTTTGCAGTTCACGGAAAACATTTGCCAACTGATTTACAGTAATGTCTGAAATCACGTTAGTTATTTTAGCTATACTTAAAACTAGGTACATTAAACTTTATAACATTTTTTACAGATTATTTCTATCGCAAATACAAATAAAGTTATAAATTTTTTAAAGTGCACACGAACTTTATGGACAACCTGTATTTATTCATGTATAATACAAATTATAGGTTTATCTATTGTCCTGTTCACACTTCTCCCCAGTTTTTGAACAGGAGTAGTGGTTCATTCCTTGTTTCCTGTTTAGAATTGGGTTTCCGGCTCCTTCTAAAGCCGATTCAATTCTATACTCCTAACATCTCCGTATGTACAAAAATCAACATTTTTATACACATACAAAAATAATTCAAAATTCTTTTTAAAAATACTCAGGGTCATATGATATTTAATAAGCTTTGCAATATATGATTAGAAAATATAGTTTAACTAAATAACAATGTTACTTGTTAGACTAGTAAAACAGAAATTTAAAAGATTTAAAAACTTTATAAATTATACTAAATAAAATTGTAAAAAAATGAAAACAAATCTTGTAAAAATTCATTTTTTATCAAAAATTTTTTTTTTCTGAAGGCAATACTAACCTTATTATATATTGTTCATAAAGCAATTAAAAGTTTTTGTAATTATTAAATAATTGAGAAGATTTTCAGTAAGACAGGGTCCAATTTTGCAAAAAAAAAAAAAAATGATTTAAATATACAAAGAGTCCTGCATTTAACTAAATATAGTCACTAAAAATTATCTCATTGAATTTCTCAAGTTTTCATAAAATTAAATAAGCTGGCGAAACACATGTAAGAAAATAAAAAAAAATTTTTTAAATGTTTTTTACAAAGATAGTCTGAAAAAAAAAAATTTCTAAAATAATTCCATTCATTTATGAATAAGTTTTGAAAGTTTCATTAAAATCCAACAATTATTTCATTTTTGCAAGAATTTCGAAATTAACGTGTATTTTTTTTTAAATGATGTATATATGCAAACATCTTCAGGATGTTTTTTTTTTTTCCTTTTTTTTTTTAAATCCTTTTCTTTTAAATCAAAGTTTAATTATTTTTAAATTAAATTTTTTTAAAAAATGATATACATGTAAAAAAAAGACGCTAAATTTTGCTATGCTAATTTATAGTCCATCCTCTGAAGCAAGAAAAACAAAATTTCTAATCAAAATTTCGAAAAAAAGATTTTAAAAAGATTAAAAATTTTATAAATTAATCAAAAAAATACTTTGATCTTTCCTCTTAATAATAACAAAGATTTTGATGATAAAACAATTTTCGTTAAGTTTGGGGCATTTTTTTCATTATGGTTTAATCTTAGTGGAGGGATCAACTTAAAATGATTACTTTGTTACATATGTAAATGTAAAAACTGTCTTGTTTGGCAATAATATATGGCTATAAAAAGGTACCATTAATTATTTATGGCTAATTTGTTTAAATAATGCACTGATTACTGTTTGCATCATTATTTAAAAAAAATTAGTTAACAGATTTTAGATACCTAAGAAAAATTTAGGTACCACATTTTAGGTACTTAAAATAAAATTATGTACCATATTTTAGGTACCAAAAAACTTAGTACCACATTTTAGATACCGAAAAACATTACTACCACATTTTAGGTACTGAAAAACATTAGTACCACATTTTAGGTACCAAAAAACATTAGTACCACATTTTAGGTACCAAAAAAAAGCAACACAAAAAAAAACAATATCTAAGGTTTTTAAAATGAAATCTTTCTTCAAGCTTTTTCGTCCTGGGTATGACAATAAACTACATCCGCGTCCTGGGTAAGACGATAAACTACGTCCAACAGCAAGGCCTCTGATCAGGAGGTCTTGAGGAGCATGTAACCATGTCTTAATTGCTGGTGTTCCCATATCCGCCATGACTTGGGGTGGCAGCACCTGTTAGGGTCCCAGCTATGAGCAAATAGTTAACTCCAAAACTAGGGTAAAAACACTATGAAAGTGTAAAAACAGGTTTTAATACCAGAAATAATTTGTGAAAAAAAAAATTATTTCTAGCAATAAGTTTTTGAAGAAAAAAAAAAAAAACTATTACCAGCTATATATTTTTGAGGAAAAAAATATTACCAGCATTAGTTCTTTGGAAAAATTATTACCACTATACATTTTTGGAAAAAAAAATATGACCAGAAATGAAAATTTGTTGGCATTAAATGTTGATATGTCATAAAAGAAAACAAACCAAATCTTCAAGCTTTTATTTCAGTCTTAATTTCAAGTTAATAGACTAAATTTAATATTTCCAATAAGCAAAATACTTTGCTGTATTTCAAAAACTAATTTAAATCGACTGGTAGGAGTTTTTTTTTTTTTTTTTTTGCTAAAATAGCTGATAAGGACCTGTTTTTGTCCTGTTTTCATCGCAATGTAATTTCCTTTATTAAAATTTTTTTTCAAAAATAAATTATACTTTTCTGAAATTTTATTTGAGGAATATTAGCTAATTTAAAGTTTAATTAATTGGATTTGAAACAATTATTTACTTTAAGTCTAAAATATTGCAGAAATGCATTTTTTTTTTTTTTTACCAGACAGTAGCTGTTTAAAGGTCGAAAGTACAGGATCCCCAGTGAGGATTGAACTCACTGTTCAGTTGTAACTGTTTTGGCAAGACAAGCTTGCTAACCATTACAAATGGTTATTTTCTAAGCATAACTTAGACATGGCACAAGGCCAAAAGTGTGGGGCACCTAGAGAGGACCGAACTCGCTTTTCAGTCGGATCTAGTGAGATAAGCTTGTTAACCGTTACACCACAACAAGGTACTTTTTATTTTCCAAGCGTACCTTAGATGTGTCACAAGGCCAAAAGAAGTGCCCCCCCACACATCCAGTGAGGATTGAAATCACTACAGAGTCGTAATGGTTCTAGAGAGACAAGCTTGCCAACCATGGCGCTACCTCGAGGTGCCCCCATTTATACAAGCTTCTTATGTAGATTATGCACGGTTTTCCTTCAATCTCTCCTGTGAGTTTCAAACTTTCCAAGCCCTCTTTCCTCTTTGTGCCCGAGACATGTTAACTGTCTCTTTCTGGGGTTACGTAATCTGAGAATTTTGGCAACTTTACCAAAACATTTCTTTCAGCAAATTCCAGCAAACATTCTGCATTTTTTGCCTTGAAACTCCGCAGAGAGGTGTGTCAAGAATCCAAGACAGCATTACGAAAAAAAAACAAAAAAAAAGAAAGAAAAGAAATACGGATATTAATCTTACTTATTATAAAACGCAGATTGTATGTGTGTGTGTGTGTGTGTGTGTGTGTGTGTGTGTGTGTGTGTCTGTACGTTTATATATTGGATCAGATTTCCTACATTTTTCAACCGATTTCAACAAAACTTCACAGGACTACGTAAAATTACCTTCTTGGTGGTTCTGATAACGCCAAAAATTAGAAAAAACACAATTGTTTTTGCATGAAATCAAATTTGAAAACACGATTAAGAGGCATTAATGAAAGGGGGACAACTCATATCGAGTTATACTTATTAATATCGCGTTATACTTATTAAAGGTTGGTTGTTTGTGTGTGTTTGTTTATATATGGGATCGGATTTCCTACATTTTTCAACAGATTTCAACAAAACTTCTTTTTTTTTTGGCAGGTAGTGTTTCTTATTGTCTTGTACATTTTTTTTCTTTATTTTTACATTCAGAATGCTTTTAAAAATTCCATTTACAAGACAATTGTTTATAATAAAATTCTATTCAATCGGTAGACTCATAACGATTGAAAACAATATTTTTGTTTGAGTTTGGGTTTGACCAATTAAAAAAAAAAAAAAACCTAATTAAGACATGCATGTCCGTCAACCTTAAACAATAATCTTTGTCAATTTTATTTTTCAGTCTTTATGAAGGTCGATACTTGATCTATCTCTTACTATTGCATCCCCGGGCAACGCCGGGCTATACTGCTAGTAATATAATAAATAGAACAAATAGAAGATATTTATCAATCAAACATGTACATTTTTAAAGCTTCATCAGAGATTCCAAGATTTATTTCAGGAAAAAAAAAAACACTGTGTCCTTGATGCCCGTAAATATGAAAATAACAAATGGATTTTTATCAGTTTTCATCCTTTAAGCCTGGAGTTGGCAACCTATGGCATGCTAAGCAATTTTCAATGGCACACAGCCACAAATGACATCGCAAAGTCTGAACCAATAACTACTACAATGCAAAGAAGATATTTAGCTGTTTCAATTTTAATATATACTGAAGTATATGTACTATAGGGGAGGAACGGTGGAGTAATGGATAGCGATTCAGATTGAGGAATCAGGGATCCGAGTTCGAATTCCAGTCAAATCCATTAGATTCACTTACGTGCTAATACCCTTAGGAAAGGTATGAATCCTCTTCTTCTTCCCCCCAGCTATGGGTAAATAGCAGGACAGAGTGGGTTCTACAGATTTGGATGGCAACTGGTCAACTGCAGAAAGAAATGGCAACCTACCTTGTCAGTTATGTATCAAAAGATACATGATTGCCTAAGCGTGTATCACACATGGCACATAATTGACTATTGTGGGGGCACGGTGGAGTAATGGATGGCGATTCAGATTGAGGAATCAGGGATCCGAGTTCAAATTCCAGTCGAATCCATTACATTCACTTACGTGATAATACACTTGGGGAAAGGTATAAATCCTCTTCTTCTCCCCCCCAGCTATGGGTAAATAGCAAGACAGACCGGGTTCTATAGTCTTGGATGGAAACTGGTCTACCACAGAAAGAAATGGCAACCTACTGCAGGGGAAATAATCTGCCTCGTCAGTCATGTATCGAAAGATACATGATCGCCTAAGCGTGTTATCACACATGGCACATTACTGATGACTTTCCAATTGAATCCATTACATTCACTTACAGGCTAATAACCTTGGGAAAGGTATGAATCCTCTTCTTCCCCCCCCCCAGCTATGGGTAAATAGCAGGACAGACCGGGTTCTATAGCCTTGGGTAGCAACTGGTCTAGAAAAAGGACAACTCTAAATTCAAAACCTGATCCTCCAGGTTGGGGGTTGCACTGTAGGCTAACAACCTACTCATTTAAAAACCGGCTTGTTAGAGAAACCACAATGATAACTTGTGGCCCAATGTTCCTCAAGGAATTTAAAGGCATTATATATATATATATATATATATATATATATATATATATATATATATATCTTACTTATTATAAAACACAGATTGTGTGTGTGTGTCTGTACGTTTATATATTGGATCGATTTTACATTTTCCAACATTTTTCAACAAAACTTCACAGGACTACGTAAAATTACCTTGCGGTGGTTCTGACAGTGCCAAAAATTAGAAAAATACAATTGTTTTTGCACGAAATCAATTTGAAAACACGATTAAGAGGCATCGCGAAAATGAAAGGGGGACAACTCATATCGAGTTATACATATTATAAAACCCAGGTCGTTTGTGTGTGTGTGTGTGTGTGTTCATTTATATATGGGATCGGATTTCCTACATTTTTCAACAGATTTCAACAAAACTTCACTTTTTTTGGCAGGTAGTGTTTCTTATTGTCTTGCACACTTTTTTCTTTATTTTTACATTCAGAATGCTTTAAAAATTCCATTTACAAGACAATTGTTTATAATAAAATTCTATTCAATTGGTAGACTCATACTGATTTGAAACAATGTTTTTGTTTGAGTTTGGGTTTGACCAATTTGTAAAAAAAACAAAACAAAAAAAACAAACTAATTAAGACATGCGTGTCCATCAACAATAAACAATAATCTTTGTCAATTTTATTTTTCAGTCTTTATGATGGTCGATACTTGATCTATCTCTTACTGTTACATCCCCGGCCAACGCCGGGCTATACTGCTAGTTACTATATAAAATATATTATAGAACAGGTATATTGACCTTGACTTGTATAAAAATACATATGCTGTTGGCATATTGAATGACTGTAAAACCCTATGTTGGCACATACTTAGCAAAAGGTTGCTGACCACTGCTTTAAGCCACAGTAATGTCGAAATGTCCATATTTAAAATGATCCCAAATTAGCCCTTTCCCAACCATAATTTAACCTTTTTTATGTGTTGTTTGTTTCTTTTAGGGATATTTATTTTTCTGAGAGACAATGTTAAATAGGAAAGGTAGTGATAATCCTACAAATAAAGCCAGTAAATTTAATTGATATTTGTTTTTTGAAGAATGTTTCATTCCTCAAAAAACAAATAGACTACTGATATTGTGGTGTTTTTTTTTTTTTTAAAGCCATGTCTCATAGTGAAAGGATGCTTTATAGATTAAGAAAAAACGTTTGATAAAGTACGTTTATTTGGGGCGATATTAGAATAATCCAGATCTTGTACTGCGAACAAAATGCCCACATGGAGATACTAAAAGAATTCAGTAAATAGAAAAAAAGTAAAAAAAATAATAAAATATAAAAATAAAAAAATTAAATAAAATTGCAAGTAAACATAAATGCAAATAAAAAATAAAATAAAAAAAATAAAAATAAAAAAAAAAAAACAAAAATAAAATAAAAATAAAAATAAAATAAAAATAAAACAAAAATAAAATAAAATAAACAAAAATTAAAAATAAAATAAAAAAAACAAAAAATAAAATAAAAATAAAACAAAAATAAAATAAAAATAAACAAAAACAAAAATAAAATAAAATAAACAAAAATAAAAAATAAAAAATAAAAATAAATAAGAATAAATGCAAATAAACATAAATGTAAATAAAAATAAATAAAAAATAAAAGAAATGCAAATAAAAAAATAAATAAAATAAATGCAAATAAAAGATAAATAAAATAAAAAATAAATAAAAATAAACATAAATGCAAATAAAAATAATATAAAAAATGAAATAAATGTAAATAAAAGTTTCCTTTGGCCTTGTGACACATCTAAGGTACGTTTGGAAAATGAAAAGCACCTTGATGTGGTGTAATGGTTAACAAACTTCTCTCACTAGATCAGTTCTGACTGAAAAGTGAGTTCGATCCTCACTAGGTGCTCCACACTTTTGGCCTTGTGCCATATCTAAGTTACGCTTAGAAAATAACCATTTGTAATGGTTAGCAAGCTTGTCTCGCCAAAACAGTTACAACTGAATAGTGAGTTCAATCCTCACTGGGGATCCTGTACTTTTGATGACAGATATCTGAAGAAGGCCAGAGAGTACAACAGCTGAAATGCCGTGTGTATAAAAAACAGGATACATGAAGCATACACTAAATCCCAAAAAAAAAAAAAAAAAAAAAAAAAGTTGTTTTTTTTTTTTGGTTGGTTTTGTTTTAAATCTCATGTTTTTATTAGCAGCATGGCCCGGCGTTTTACGACTCATACAGCAATCGCTATCACTTGACTTAAAATATTTTTGCCATTCCTTGCCTTTAAAGGAGTGCCCTTTGCCATGCTGATGTTGCCTTACTTCTTGCCTATCTCACATAGAGAATTTTTTCTAAGCTCTCTATTTGGCAGTGGACAGATCAATGCCAGGAAACATTTGAAAAAATAATCAAGACATTAACATCGGATTTATTTTTGGCACACTATGATCTTAAACTAGAGATTATTGTAGCAAGTGATGGGAGCGCCTACGGTGTCGGAGCGTGTATATTGCATAAAATGCCACATGTCATGAGGATCGGGACATACCCATTTGTGTTCATAGGTATGGTATGTAACAATATTTCGGGGAGGCATCATTCCCTTGTTCAAATTTAATTTGAATCAAAAGGGAAAAAATATCAGTTGGTGGGTTGTGCAAAAAACAACTTCATCTGACCACACAAACGTCCAAACACAATATTATTTAGAATATAAGAGTGGTAACTACACTAAATTTCAAATTTATTGGTAATTTTCTAAAATTACCTCAACAAGAATCTTCAGAAGTAAGACTATAATGACAAAGTACCTTAAACTCAATAAAATATTAGAATACTTTCCTAATTTTTTAAGATTGATAGGTAGTTAGAAAAAAAAAATTATATTAAAAAAACTGCTTATGCTATATTCATCAAATAATTATTGTAGTTGTGTCCACCTCAGAAAAAATTCCCAAACATAAGTCTATTGAGAGAGTTGTCAACACTTCAAAAAAAAAACACCTACATCTGTGTTAGAAAATTATTTTCTGCAATATTTTAAGTAATATTCGTTTCAAATTGGATTAATTCAATTTTAAATCAATTAATCTTCCTTAAATAAAGTTTTTAAAAAGTATATCTCATTTTTTAAAGGTTTTGTTAATAAATAGAATTACGTTGTGTTTACACATTTGTCAATATGGACGATTTCAGTGTTTTTACTTTTAAAACAAAACAAACATGATTCCAGTTAATTTAAATTCGGTTTGGTATTTATTTATTTATTATTTTACTTTTTATTTTTTTGCTTATTAGAAAATCTTAAATTTAAATTTAATTAGCTTGAAATTAAAAGTAAAATGAAAGCAAAAAGCTTCAAGATTTTTTAATTTATTTTTTAAAATCCATAAACTTTAGCCATCGCTTTTTTTCATTAACGATAGTTTTTATACAAAGTTTAGTTTTTGATAAATATTTTAATTAATTTTTGCAGCATGTCGCCATTTTTTTTTATTTAATTAATTAAAAAAAAAAAAACTATTAAAAAATAAATAAAATGATATCTTTTTTTGACAATCTCGAGAATCCAATTACTTTTTCAAAGTCAGTAAATAAATATAAAAATATGTTCTTATTTTTACACCTTTTGTTTTACTTTTACTGATCAGTGATTTAATATTAAAAAAAAAAAAAAAAAAAAACTTTTACGGCGTACGTTTTTTTTTTTTTTTTTTTTTTTATTTCTTTGGTCCTTTTTAATTAAAATTTAAATTAAAATTTTCAAAAGATAAACTCTAAAGACAATTTTTAAAATAAAGCACAATAAGTTTTGTTCTAGTTATTTATTTATTTTAAAACTCCAACCCGAAAAAGGTAAAATCAAAAAAAATAAACAAAAACAATTTGAAATATAAAGCAAAAGAAAAAAACAAAAACAAATATAATTTTTTTTAGAGGAAAAAAAAAAAAAGAACTAATTAACTTGGAATACAATAAGAAGTCATAAATAAAACTGGTTTTAAAACCATTTTACTTTTCAAAATAGTAATTTATTTATCGATTTCAATAAGAAAATCGTAACTGAATTTTCCCCTCTCGTTTTTTTAAGATAAAAATACCTTGCAAAATCATAATAAATAATAATAAAAAAAGGTCTCACCTATTTCTAGTAGACTGTGGAGATTAAGATTAAAAAAAAAACGGAAAAAAAAAAGAGTTTAATCCCCACAACGGCAATTAACACGTGTTTTTAATAATTTTCTTATTAAAAATTTACATTTTGGTCTTTTGTATCTAAAACACGGAACATAACACTCGATTACACCGGTTTCCGAATAACGGTGTGACTCAATACGATTTTCTTCTTAAATATTATTCCACAACATCTTAAAAGCATTTTTAACATTACGTACGACGACGTCCGCTCATATGTGTGTGATGATAATAATGATGAAAAGTCAGGACTTCGAATGCTGACTTTTCAAGACAGAGTCTACCTTCTTGGATCTTTTATGATTTTTCGTGCTTTTTTCCTTTTATTCCTAAGCCGAGTTTAAATTTTAATTTAAATGACCGGGTGTGGTCGTAAAGGTTGTTGCCCAGCTGAGCACCTAGTCAACTTCCACTATGTTTCGGTTACGTGCCAATGCCTGTGTCTCTGTGAAAGCTCTTCCAGTTCACCCAATGACCTTGTCACCTATTTTTCTGTCTGCAGCTTCTTTTGCTTAGTGGTACCTTGTCGAATAATGGTAGTGAAAAAACATGGCTGACACTTGTGACTGGGCCATACTGTTAGTGTTACACATGTTCTTGGAGCATATATCTTTTAGTTTTTCGTACATTTAATGATTCAAGAAAAACAACGAAACTCCAAATGTGGATCAACAAGTATATATTGAAAATAACATACAAAACAAACATGCAAATGAAATGTATAGATTAAGAGAGAAGAAGTTGCTCCCCTTTTACCGTATTTCTGATTTGTGATTGTGTGGAATCTTCCACAACAAACCAGCCTTACCTCTTTTTAGGAAATGCACTCTTCCTATCTGGTAAGCAAAATTCTACTTTCATACGATATAACGAGTATTCATTGGTCAATCACCTCCAATCTAACTTGCTGATTGGTCAGTTCCGACCAATTCAAACCCCCTGCACGCGACCAATCTGTTTTCCCGCTCATATGCTAGGAGCCACTTGACCATTATATAAACCGAACACGTGTGAACCTTTTGAGTAGTAGTTGCCAAGTGCCAAGATGTAACATTCAGGAACTCCCGTCTTAGTCATTGCTGACCAGACGTTCAAGATAATTACCAACATTCACGAACTCTGAAATCACTCCTGAACTTTTACCAACTTTGCAAACTCACAATTTCAAACTTTCTTAATATGAACTCCGGTACAACCAATACCTAATCAAAGGGACACGATTCTGTCCTACCTTTTCAGTTCGCATTCATGTAAATCAAACATTAGTAAATCTAATTGTTATGTTTTGGAATCATTCAGTTCAGTTTTGTATTTTATTCTATGTGCTATTTACGTCAAGTATAAATTGCATTGCTTTTACGCATTGTCCTTAATCTCATCTTTCCTAGCCCAAGTTAAATATTGGCAACTCAATCACTACAACGATGAAAATACAACACTAACAGCTACATGATCCCGTCGGAAATAAACAACAATGGTACCCCTATAACTACAATAATTGAATGTTCGAAAGAGGTTCTCTTGAGAGAGAATGTTCAGGAATCTATGTTAAATAGAGTCTGCTGTTAGAATACGTAACACAAGAATGCAATTTATCAGAAAGTCTGTTGTGTTTGAAAAATCAACAGAGTCCTGGTTGAATGAACTTGTTACGGGGCCAATGAGGATGTCGCCCCCGCAGGTCCTCGAAAGAGAAAGGTGTGAGACAGCCAAGACAATGAGAGGACAAAGGCAGAGGTTTATGAAACAATAAACGTCGAATTTATTTATCCAAAGTGTACAAGAGTGTACTCTGGAGAAGTGTGTTTGTATCGGTGTCGGGTCCGGTATAACTGGTTTCCTTCAGGGGAAGTTGATTCGGTTGTATCGGCGAAACGAGTGTAGAGTTGGTCGGCGACGGTAGCTGGTCGACTGCCGGATCGGATAGTTGGCATTAGCTGGTTGGTGGAAGACGCACGAAGGGTCGTTGGACCGGTTAGGACGAGTCCCTAAACAGGGCCGAGTCGGGGTAGTGTTACGCCTTCCAGGGCGGATTAACCGCGGAGACGGGATCGCGCCGAAGGGTAGCACTTGATGTAGACGAAATCCCTAAACAGGGCCGAGTCAGAGTAGTGATACGCCTTCCAGGGAGGATCAACCGCGGAGACGGATCGCGCCGAAGGGTCAAGCACGATGTGACGAAATCCCTAAACAGGGCCGAGTCAGAGTAGTGATACGCCTTCCAGGGCGGATTAACCGCGTAGACGGGATCGCGCCGAAGGGTAGCACTTGATGCAGACGAAATCCCTAAACAGGGCCGAGTCAGAGTAGTGATACGCATTCCAGGGCGGATCAACCGCGGAGACGGGATTGCGCCGAAGGGTAGCACTTGATGAAGACGAAATCCCTAAACAGGGCCGAGTCAGAGTAGTGATACGCCTTCCAGGGCGGATCAACCGCGGAGACGAGATCGCGCCGAAGGGTAGCACTTGATGTAGGCGAAATCCCTAAACAGGACCGAGTCAGAGTAGTGATACGCCTTCCAGGGCGGATCAACCGCGGAGACGGGATCGCGCCGAAGAGTAGCACTTGATGCAGACTAGATCCCTAAACAGGGCCGAGTCAGAGTAGTGATACGCCTTCCAGGGCGGATCAACCGCGGAGATGGGATTGCGCCGAAGGGTAGCACTTGATGTAGGCGAAATCCCTAAACAGGGCCGAGTCAGAGTAGTGATTCGCCTTCCAGGGCGGATCGACCGCGGAGAAGGGATCGCGACGAAGGGTATTCTCTCGACGAAGGCATCGGGAGCTCACAAAGGTAACGTACTACACTTTGGTCGCCCAGTATGTAGGGAGAATGCCCTCTAGTGAACAGTTAGGGAAATAAGGAGGAGCTAACTCCGACAGGTGCGCCTCTAAAAGATTGAAAAAGGGTTAATTTTGAAACTGTTTATAGACAAAGAAGGCAGTTATCACATTATTGTGGTTACTGGCTTAAAGAATGGAAATTGATCAAATCTTTTAGATGTTTTATTGAAGGGTATTGTTATAAAATAAAATAAGACAGATCTCGGCTGATTTACAGTCAAATACTCAAGAGCGAGAGCCGGATGTGAACGGGACAAAACCCCGTCACAAAATGACCATTATCTTCATTTACAAATATTTCCTACACACGAGTTCCGGTCGAAAAATAAAATAATATTTAAAGTGTTCTATTTTTAGTCCAATAAAAATGCTTCCCTTCTAATTATACTCGCTTCGTTTTTCGAGCCTGTTAAGCCATAAAAAAAAACGCTATAAAAGGGGTCACACGGAAGTTCAACAGGCAGTCAACAGGTGGCCACAAGGGAGACCTCTTACGGTCAGGCTGAGCGTTCAGCAGCTGTCAGCAGGAGAGCACCAACCACCGTCAACATGTGTGAACTACTACGAGAGATCGACCTAGATCCGAAAGCCGGCTTATGAACTATACCACAAGGTAGCTGTCCCAAACCCACACGTTCCTATTGAAATAAACCACGTAAATCTATTTCTGCTGTTGTCGTATTTCTTTCTTGCAACCATACGCTTGTCTATAACAGTATTTTATTCTTTGTATTAAAATAAACATCGTTATCTTTTGCTTTGTTGCGAAGGCGGAAATAGGTAACCTGGAAGACTGAACCTTGTTGTTACTATGGTGTAGTTTAATTCCTTCTCCGCCTCAACAAATGTCTAACCAAGTATGAAACAAATGAGGATATTGAGTATGGGTAAATATATAATTTATTTAAATATATACAAAAACTAGTAACGTCTATCTGTAGTTGTTACTGGGGCAACAAGGTGAGAGAGTGGTGAAATTACAAGTGAAACGCATATTGGTGGTGACTGTCATCGTCAGTAGCGTTTCTCTCGCAGTACGTCAGTGTTGACATCAAACACTGATCTGTGTCGTATCTATCTATCTATCTATCTATCTATCTGTGTGTGTCTCTCTCTCATCATGCTATTGTTGACATCAAACATTGATCTATGTCGTATCCCTCTCTCCCCCCCCTCTCTCTCTCTCTCTCTCTCAGCATGCTGGTGTTGACATCAAACATTGATCTGTGTCGTATCTCTCTCTCTCTCTCTCTCTCTCTCTCTCTCTCTCTCTCTCAGCATGCTGGTGTTGGCATCAAACACTGATCTGTGTCCTCTCTCTCTCTCTCTCTCTCAGCATGCTTATGTTGGCATCAAACACTGATCTGTGTCGTATCTTTCTCTCAGCATGCTGGTGTTGGCATCAAACACTGATCTGTGTCCCCTCTCCCTCTCTCTCTCTCTCTCTCTCTCTCCCTCTCTCTCAGCATGCTGGTGTTGACATCAAACATTGATCTGTGTCGTATCTCTCTCTCAGCATGCTGGGGTTGACACCAAACACTGATCGGTGACGTCTCTTTTCTCTCTCTCTCTCTCTCTCTCTCTCTCAGTATGCTGGTGTTGACATCAAACATTGATCTGTGTCGTATCTCTTTACTCTCTCTCTTTCTCTCTCTCTCTCTCTCTCTCTCTCTCTCTCTCTCAGCATGCTTGTGTTGACACCAAACACTGATCAGTGTCGTATCTCTCTCTCAGCATGCTGGTGTTGACACCAAACAATGATCGGTGTCGTCTCTCTCTCTCTCAGCATGCTGGTGTTGGCATCAAACATTGATCTCTCTCTCTCTCTCTCTCTCTCTCTCTCTCTCTCTCTCTCTCTCTCAGCATGCTGGTGTTGGCATCAATCACTGATCTGTGTCGTATCTCTCTCTCAGCATGCTGTTGTTGGCATCAAACACTGATCTGTGTCCTCTCTCTCTCTCTCTCTCTCTCTCTCTCAGCATGCTGGTATTGACATCAAACATTGATCTGTGTCGTATCTCTCTCTCAGCATGCTAGTGTTGGCATGAAACACTGATCTGCGTCGTATCTCTCTCTCTCTCTCTCCCCCCTCTCTCTCTCCCCCCCCCTCTCTCTCTCTCTCTCTCTCTCTCTCTCTCTCTCTCTCTCAGCATGTTGGTGTTGACAGCAAACACTGGTCTGTTTCAGGTCTATTTGAATTTGCGTACACCGGGTGCGATGGGTAAATTGTCATCATTTGTGTGACCTTAA